GGAGGTGTCAGATTTTTGAGTCTGGTCCGACTTGTTCGGAACAACAAATACAGGACAAGAGGTGGGATAGGAAGAAGGGATAGAGTCAGAGCGAAGGGGTGGGGCGGGGGGGTGAAGAATCCAAAGGGGCATCAGTACCTGAGTTTTGTGTTCCTTAACACCTGAAAGGAAAGGCAAAGGTTTTCTTGTTCAGGCATCAAATGAGACAAAGAATGAAATGGAACTGGCAACCAGGACAGCTAAGAATTGGTGGTTGTGGTGATGGAGGGAGAGGTGGAGAATGGTGCGTGGCACCAAGTGTGAATCTCAGGGTGGGGTGGGAACAGCTGACCAAGCTGCATTGTATGTCATACAGTAACTGTAATCCTGAGTACATTAGAAACATGAAAATTGGAACCTGGGTTGAAATCTGCACCAGAGACAGTCACTAAGGAGGGAGATGTGGCCGTGAAAGCAAGTTTTGATAAACACTTCATGAAACACCAGGAGGGAGATAGAAAGCAATGAATGTGAACAAACCGAGAGATTAAAACCAAAGTCCTCTGGAGAGAAAAGCAGAGTGTCTTCAAAGTGGACATAGCTGAACAAGAAATGGCAGTGAATTAAACACTTAAATAAAAGCAAAATTCTGCAAATGCTGGAGATGTGAAATAACTAAGTGCTGGAGAAACACAGCAGGTTTGGAGCAAGAAACAGAGGTAACGTTTCAAGTCTGTTGTGACTGTTCTTCAGAGAAATGCTGACTGGTTTGAGCCGAGTGGGACTGGAATCAACCAGTTACTGCAACCAAGAGGAAAGCCCTCATGAACTACAAGCAAGACCCCAGTAAACAAAATCTAGATGCCCTCTGAGCTGCCGGAAGACTGTTCAGCTACTAGCTGAAATTCTGCAACAGTAGGCAATGTGATGTTGAATCCAGCTGTGCTGGAGGGATTATGGAGAAATAAGAAAATAACATGTCCAGCAGCAATCACTTGAAGAGAACAACAGAGGTACTCCCACTCAACCTAGCAGGCAGCTGGGTGGAGTACTACCTTGAACCCTGTACTATGGAGAACTTTGTCATTAAAGAAGTTGTCAGTTCCATTCCAGTCTTCCCTGTCATGGAGGAGCAGGACAATGAGCTCACTATAGTTGAGCTCAAAAAAACCATTGACCACCTTGCCAATGGTAAAACTCCAGGAAATGATGGTGTTCCACCTAAAACTATCAAACATGAAAAACTGGTACAGTTGCCATATCTTATTGAATTGTTGTGTCTCTTTTGGATGAAAAGATATGCATGATGCAAAAATGTACACCATGTACAAGGGGTGTCACAATGATAGGAAGGAGATTCCTCAGTAACTGTTGCAAAGAATTGTCAGGGAGATCTTTGCTTCTGTTACTTTTGCCAGATCTAGTGACGTATCTAGCCTGAGTTGCATTGTGGTTTCAGAGCAGGCAGATCAACAGTCAACATGGTTTCCTCACTTTGGCTGTTACTGAGAAGAGCATTGCGCACCACAGACCACTCTGCATTGCTTTCAATGACCTCCTCAAGGACTTTGATCTCATCAACAGAGCAAGATTCTTTAAACCGCTGCAGAAATAGGCTGCGATCCTGGGTGTCATTATTGTCTTGCCATGACAGCACAACACAATTCTGTCTGTTACAATGGAGCAACAGCAGATATTTTGAAGAGCAGCGGTGGGATAAAGCAGGGCTGCATCCAGGCACCAATACTCTGTCCTACCTGCTGCTTTTGTGCACTTGCAGTGGTTCAAAAAAGAATGTCCGCCTGTAAGGCAAGCTGTTCCATTTGGTAACACGACATGTTAAAGTGCATAATTTTACTAGTGCATGAGTTACTGTTTGGTGCTGATGCTGCTCTAGCATACTACTGTATACTGAAGTTCATTTGCAACAACTTTTAGACCAGTTCTCTTGGGCCCTGTGACATGTCTAGACTGTTAATGAGCATCAAGAATACCGAAGTTATGGGCCAGAGTATAGAGACTGAGCTCAGTGGCCCTGGTGGAATCCAAACATTGGTAAGCAGGCTATTGCTGTGTAAGTGTTGCTTGGTAACGCTGTCAATGACCCCTTCCATGACTTTGCTGATGATCGGCAGCAAACTGAGGATGAAGTAATTGGGCAGGTTAGATTTATCCTGCTTGTTGTAGATGTAGCTGAGCAGTTTTTCACATTGCCAGTTGATGCCGATGTTGTAGCTACACTAGGGTGGTTTCATTGGGGCTAGTTCTGGAACACAAATCTTGAGTACGATGGCCAGAATGTTGTCACTACACTTACCCTTAGCTGTATTTGGTGTCATCAGTCATTTGCTGAGATTAAATTGAGTGAATCAAGTTGACCTGAGACTGGCATCTGATACAGGGAACCTCTGGACAAGGCTGAGTTGGATTGCCCACTCTGCACTCCTGGCTGAAGATGATTGCAATGGCCTCTCAGCCTTGATTTTTGCACTGATGTCCTCAGCAACCCCATCATTGATTTTGTGGATGTGGAAACTCATCCTCCTGTTTGTTGCTTAATTGATCATCACCATTCATGCCTGGGTATAGCATGACTGGTTGTGAGATTGATCGACTGATTTTTTCTAGCTAACACCTACTTCTTATGTTTTTTGTCCCGCAAGTGATCCTGTATTGTTTCTCCACTGGGTTGACACCTCGTTTTTATATCTGCCCCTCCGATGCTGTTCCTGGAATGCTGTCCCACATTCTTTAATGAGCCAGAGTTGATCCTTGGGCTTGATGGCTATAGTGTGATGGAGGGGTATGCCAGGCCAGGTTATACATTGTGATTGAATTGAATTCTGCTGCTGCCAGTGGCCCACAGCATCTTGCAGGAACCCAGTTTCAAATTGGCGGATCTTTTCAAAATCTGTCCTATTTAACATGGTAGCAATGCCACACAGTATCCTGGAGACCATCCTCAATTACGAAGACAGGACTTTGACTCCACAAAAACAGTGCAGTGGTGACTTCAGTTGATACTGTCATGGACTGACACCTCTTCGACAAATAGCTTGGTGAGGACAAGGTATAATAGGTTTTTCCTTCTTGTTAGTTCCCTCACCACCTGCTGAAGACCTAGTCTGGCAGCTATGTCCTTTAGGACTCGCTCAGCTCAGCCAGAATTGGTGCCACTGAGCTATTCTTGATGATGATTGAAAACATCTGCCTAGAGTGTTACCCTCAGTACTACTTCCAAATGGTGTTCAGTATGAAGGAGTGCTGATTCATCAGTTGAATCGGGTGTGGAGGGACATCCATTGTAATCAACAGGAGATCCTCTTGCCTTTATTTGATTTGATCCTGTGAGACTTGGAGACTCACGGCTGCTCCTTCCCTCTTGTATATCACTGTGTCACCAAATTGGGTGGAGTTATTTGGTTAATGTTTCATATTGGTCTTTATTGAAAAGAAGAATGTGCACCTTTAATTGGTAGAATGTGAAATGGCAGAAAGAATGAACATTTCAGGAGGGGCAGTTGAGCCAAAGGGAGTCAAAGCTCCAGGTTTAAATTGTTTGCATCCTCAAATGAGGGAGGAAATTGCAAATCCCTAGAAACTACAGGAGAAATTTGAACGTGTTTGTTGTCAAGGGAAACTGATACAATTAAATTGACTGCCTGTTTTTACACTGTGCCTCCACTGAATAAAGCCCGAATGATTTATAGACAGTCAAACTGAACCTACACACTTCATTTATTTATTGTGAGGCTGTTTCAAAATATGGTTTTGAAATATGGTCTCTCAAAAGTTGGCCATTCATCCCCTTGAGGGGTATTCTGCCATTTCATTAGATCTTGACTGATTTGTTTCTCACTCATCTATGCCTATCTTTACTCCATATTCTTAAATAACTTTGTATTACAGCAATTTATCTGTCTTAGTCGTGAAAACTTATATTGAGCAGCACCTCGAGCCTCTTGATGGAAAGTGTTCCAGATTTCCATTACACTTTGAATGGCAAAAGTGCCTCTCAATTTTTGTTTGAAGACTTTTATTCTGCATACTCCACGACAATAAATGTTATTTCTTTTCATGAGTTGTGGGTTTTACAGGTAAGGACAATAATTGTTTCCCATCCCTAATTGCCCCTTGAACTGTGTGGCTTGTTCGGCCATTTCAGGGGGCAGTTAGGAGTCAGCCACATTGCTGTGTGTCTGAAGTCACGTATAGGCCAAACTAGGTAGGAGCTGGCAGACACTAATGAACCAGATGGGTGGCCAGGTGTGGTGAGCCTAGCTTCAATTCCAGATTTTGTGAATTGAATTTAAATTCCATTAGTTGGCATGGTGGGATTTGAACCCATGTCCCCAGAACATAAGCCTAGGCATTTGGATTGCCAATCCAGACAATATAAACATCTCCCCTTTGTATCCTCCATATCTACTCTATTAAATTCATTTATAATTTTAATTGCATTGATTTAGGTTACCCACATATGTCTAAACCCAGGTCCAGTGATTCTGAAATTTAACCCTTTAAGCCCTGATGTCATTCAGTTGAATCTGGACTGAACCCTCTCCAGGGTCAGTATATCTATATGAACTGCAATGCTGATTGCTCAAGCCAAGAGCACAAGTGCAAGATTTAACTGTAAGAGATGTTGATCAGAGACCAAGAGAAACTTTCTTGCACAAATTTGTGCCGTTGTGAAAGAAACTTGCAGGTCAGTGGTTGTAGCAGAAATGGGCAGTACTGAAATTAGGTTGGATAGGGTAAAGTGAGTGAAGGGACATTAGAGCATGATGGGTCAATATGAGTTACTAAGGTGAAGGATACATGGCAGCACAGACAGACTGGAATGAAAAGATTCTTTCTCTGTATCGGTTGCAGCAGCCGGATGAACTGCATCTGAGTGTGGGAAGGGGTGAACTGCATTAGGGAGGCATGCATTAGGCTGCTTAAAGTACACTTAAAAATAAGAATCTGCTAAAGCCCATATAATTATAACAAGACAATAATAACATTTATTTTTCCAGGAATGCTTGAAGTTGATGAGCTGATGATGGAAAGGATCATTGAGGAGCTAGAAAGTCAGTGCCAAGAGAACATGAACCTGGCAATTGAGACGGAAGAGGGTCTCGGGATTGAATATGATGAGGATGTGGTGTGTGATGTCTGCCGTTCCCCAGAGGGAGAGGATGGTAATGAGATGGTTTTCTGTGACAAATGCAACATCTGCGTTCACCAGGTAAAAGCCGTTGTTTGATCATGTCCTCAATATTCCACAAATGTTTATGAATGCACCTTCCTATTTTGATTGATGGTCTAGGTGCACCAACACACAAGGATGACAGATGTGAAAAACGGGGAATGCTATTCTGAAGCTGGAGCATAATCAATGGAGCTTTACTCTAAAGCCTAACGTGCATCTAACATGAAAATGCATGGTAATGATCCACGGTCAGAATGATAGTACAGAAAGCCACACAGTCTATCAAGCCTATTCTTTCAATATACATCATCCTTACTGTTCAATGGACTTCACAATATCTATTTGTTCTCCTGGTAAACATTCATAAGTAAAGGTTTTACACTGTTTCTCCTGCATTATACAATACGTCTAAGTATCAAGCACACCTTAAGTACTGCATTCTGTAACTTTGGTGTCATGCTGTATGGTTTGTACACAGAACAGTTCCTTCAGTTTAGAACCAGGGGCTGCTTTGGTAAGTGAACCTTGAGTCTTTGGTGAGGCTGGGTGTAGTTCTACCTGCCTGATTTGAGGGAAAAGATGGGAACGCCCAGAAATCAAACACAAAAGCCTTACCATTTAACACTTGGTCTTTGAGGAAAGCATCATGTCTTTTACATGATCAAAATTAAATTTATACATACAATATTAAATTTAATCCTTAGTCCCTGGTATCATTCATATGAATCTGTACTGTATCCTCCCCGCAGAAAGTATATCCACATGAGCACCATGATCTTCATCAGGTACTTAAGTAGTAATCTGTACAAAAATGTAATTACTGTATTTACAAACCACAAATTTCCTCAAAGCTCCTGAACAACAGGTACTTCCCCCAAACTACCACTCACCATGAAACCAACCAGTGACACAGTTTCTTTTCTACTTGCATTGCAGACTTGACCCTAATCTCTGCTGAATTCAGACTGCTGTCTAGTTTCATTGAAGCCAGGATTAAGTTCTGGATTATTTGAAGATATGCTAGAACAAAAGAATTTTAAAACTTTGTTTGTCTTAACTATGCTAAACAGTCATTCACAGGATTCTAACCCACAAGATTCAAGATGACGCCGACACTTGTGACTCCTTGTGAGCTCCCTGCAGCAGATCTAACTGCAACACTTCCTTACAGCTGTTCTATCTTGCTAATGTTGACCTTGCCTAGCGCATGCCCTGTGTGATTGAACCTGTATGCCTCTGTCCGAGTTTTTTTTTTCACAGTATGATCTGCCTGTACTACTTGTAAATAAAGCTTTAACTGTACTTGAGTACGCATGACAATAAATCACATCAAATGGTGTTCGCCCAACAAATGCAGCTGGCAAATAAATGTGTCCTGCAAACAGCTCCACCAATATGTGTAAGGGAATGGAGTGGCTTAACCAATTAATCAGTTCTAAATAAGTTGAATGCTTTTGTACAAAGCTCTGACCAAGAAGAGCAGCACTATTTGATTCCTGCATTTTGTATTTTTTTCAGTTTTCAACAGTCTTAATCATTTTGTTTTGAACTCTATACTTAAACTTCACCTGCCCCTTAAACTCTAACCTTTTTACTTTCACCGTCTCTTAACATCACCTTGACCAAAACTTTGCCCACTCTTTCCCAATTTCTCAATTCATACCTTGCTTTATGTTGAAGATGTGCTACAAGTGCAATATTTTGCTTTTAAAAATAGCTAGTAGTAATCGATTTTACCCCTATCTGTGCTATGACTGGCAAGAAAGAGTGCAATAAATAATATACCATTCATATTATTGCTTGCTTTTGTCAAATTTTAAATAACATTTGCTTTGCGCTAGAGCTCAGAAATTATCAGGTTTCAAGCATATATGGATTTAGGCCAACATTAGGCTTTTACTTTCACGTTAAATGCCGTGATTTGATCCTTTAAATTGTGATTACCAACTGCCCGCACACACACACACAGATGACAGTTGTGGTAAATACTTGGAAGTAGAACGTGGTGGCCTGGGGTTTGATAATTCTCAGAAAGTAGCCAACTGATTTGTGCGATGTCTGACAAAACACCCATCCTGAATTTCTTTAGATTCCCTGCCATAATTTTATTAGAAGGTGAGAGCTTCAGGGTTATGGGTGAGGTAGCCACTTATGTTATTCTGCCTGCTCTTACAAAGTCAAACAGGAGAACTGTGGAAATTCTCCTCACAATATGTATATGTGATAAACAGTGGTTTGTCTTAACAGTAACTTGTCTCTTTCCAGTTTAAAAAAAAATGTTTAAATGCTGTCCATGCTGTGTGAGAAGAAAATTCCAATTTGTTTTACTTGTCCCATTTAAATACTTATTCCAACATCAGTTAAGATGATTAGTTCTATAAAGCTTTTGGTTGAATGCTGACTTGATTACTGACAGTTTCACAGGTATCTACGTAAAGGTTTATTTGCTCGAGTTCTCACAGGAGATATCTGACCATTTGTTATTTTTTAAACCACGACAGGCATGTTACGGAATCTTGAAAGTGCCCCTTGGCAGCTGGTTGTGTCGGACGTGTGCCCTGGGGGTTCAGCCAAAGTGTTTGCTGTGTCCCAAGAGAGGAGGTGCTTTGAAGCCAACACGCAGTGGCACAAAGTGGGTCCATGTTAGCTGTGCCTTATGGATACCTGAAGTAAGACATCCATCTGCATGCAGACTAACAGCAGGCTCTCAACAAACTACCATGATCACATTCTGAGACAAAGGGCTGTCCAGTACTTTTCCTGTTGAACAAGCAGATTACATTGATGCATTAAACATTGAGTTGATAGGAAAATAGTTGGGAATTGGCTTTGCTGTGAATGATGTGATCATGTTACAGTTATCTAGAATTGAATATTACAAGGTTAGCAAAACAACGTGGATGAAAGTTTTCTCTGTAAACTGTTGGATTTTTTTTTTACAAATTCTGTTCTTTGCATGGTAAATATGTTCATGAGAATTAAATGACATAAAAGATTCAACACCGCTCTGTCATCTCTGAATCTGATAAAGTCTTTTCCCTCAGTTGGTTGCAAATGTCCAATTTGAAATGAATGTGGACAGTCTTAACCCCCTCCTTTCCCCATGAGAATGAGAGAACTAATCTGCCCTTAATTTGATAGCAACTAGCAATCTCATTCAGAGACCACAGAAGTGGCTAATGTAGCAAAAGAGATTGACGCAGTATTGATACTCTTCAGAGGTTTAGGATTAAGGCTTTTTGTTGGGAGAGCAGAAGAAGTCTTTCTCTGAATTTGTTAATACAGTGTGGAGCTGGAGGAACACAGCAGCTCAGTCAGCATCAGAGGAGTAGGAAAGTCAATGTTTCGAGTTGGGACCCTTCATTAGCCGATGTTTCCAGGACTGATGAAGGGTCCCAACCCGAAACATTGACTTTCCTGCTACTCTGATGCTGCCTGACCTGCTGTGTTCCTCCAGCTCCACACTGTATCAACTCTGAATTCCAGCATATGCAGTTCTTGCTATCTCCCTCTCTGAATTTGTCTGGTCAGTATCTTTTTTGGGAGTGCTTGATGGGCACCTGTAATTATTACAGATTCATTTTATTTGCACAAACTTCCTTTGGTTTGATAAACACAAATTAATTAGGAAGCAAAAGAACAAAATTACTCTATGTATCTGCAATACCATCTGCATCAGGAAGAAATGCAAAGGTGAGCTTGCACTGAAATGCTAGTGGTTCTTACTTGGAGTCCAAGTGGAGGTCCAAGCTCTTCTTATTTTGTCATTGCACATTTCTGTGATGGAGTGCCAGGACATTCACACATATGCGGTGAACCCCTCTTCATTGCCATAAGGCATCACTGCACATTTGTTTGATCTTTCTGCTGAAATTATGTTCTGCAGATTCTAATTACAACAATTGCAGAAAGACCATGGGTGTTTTATTATCAGTTAGAGTAATTGGCTAGAAAAATGACACAAAATGAGCCGGAGGAACTTGTGCATTGCCTGGATACTGTGAGGACTGTTGCCATCAAATGTAGTCAGTTCAGCCGAGATGGTGGGAACGCTTCTCGAATGATAATATGAAATAAAACGAGTAATTGCCTGGGAAAAGAAAAACACACTATTTAGGAGCAGGAGTGGGCCGTATGGCCTTTCATCCTGCTCTGCCACTTGACAAGATTTGATTGTAACCAAAACACCACATTCTTGCTTCTTCCTGCTAACCTTTCACCCTGTTTCTTACCAAGAATCTATCTATCTCTGCCTCTAAGATATTCAAAGACTGTGTATTCATCACTTTTTGAGGAAGAGAGTTCCAAAGACACTCAACCCTCTGACAGAAAAATACAATTTCCCAGCTCTTTCTTAAATGGGCACCCATCCCCCTTCCACATTCTTATATTGTCACCACTGTTACTAGATTTGTCCACAAAAGGAAATATCCTTACCTCACCTTCAGTCAAATCACGTGCAGATTCATGAAAGAAAGCCAGCACAGATTTGCAAATCCTGTTTCAACTAAATTGCTTCAGTTTTTTGATGAGGTAACAGGAAGGATTGGTGAAGGCAATGCTGTTGGTGTGATGTACATGAACTTCCAAAAGGCATCCAATTAAATGCTGCACAACAGACACGAGAATCAAGTTAGAGCTTGTGGAATAAAAGGCACATAACAGTTTGGATGAGTGATTGGAATCAAAGAACAATGGTTCATGGATGTGTCTTTGGGCTGGAGAAGGGTTTGTAGTGGAGGCCCATAGAGATTAGTGTTGTTGGCCCCTCTCTTTCTGATTTATCTTATAGTAACCTAGATGCACACTTGGGTGCGCAGGAAGCTATTTCAAAATTTGAAGACAGCACAAAACTTGGAAGTATACTGAATTAGGGGAAACTAGTTATTTCACAACAGGTTGGTGGAATGGGTGGACAAATAGCCAATGAGGTTTAATGCAGAGAAGTGTGAAGTGATTCATTTTTGTAGAAAGAGCGTAGTGTGACAATATGAAATAAAAGCGTAATTCTAAAGGGGGTCCAGAAACAGAGGCACCTAGGTATTTATAAATCATTAAAGATGGAAGGACATACCAATAGAGTGGTTAACAAAATATAAAGTTTCCTAGGCTTTACAAATAGTGGAATACAGTACAAGACCAAAGAAGTTATGTTAAATTTGCGTAAAACTCTGTTTTGGCCTGAGCTGGAGTATTGCATCGTGTTCTGGGCACAACACTTCGGGAAGGATGTGAAGACAACGGAAAGGATGCAGAAAAGATCAACAAGGATGGTTCCAGGATGAGGAACCTATCGTCTAGAGAAGAATTGGAGACATTGGGACTGTTTCACAGGGGAAGAGCAAGTTAAAAGGAGATTGGATGGTGATTTTCAGAATCATGAGTCTGGACAGAGTAGATAGGAGAAAAACCTTTCATCCTTGATCCTTCCATCAATAGGAAAGGGCACATATTTAAGGTCATTGGAAAAGAAGCAGTGGCGACATGAGAAAAAGCTTTCTCACACAGCAAGTGCTTAGATCTGGAAAGCACTGCCTGAAAGTGTGGTGAAGGCAGGTTCAATCAAGGTAGTCAGGAAGGGATGGATTATTTGAAGAGGGAGAATGGGCTACCAGGAAAAGGCAGGAGAATGCGACCAAGTGAATTGCTCTTTCGGAGACCAAGCACAGATATATTGGGTTAAATAGCCTTCTGTGCTGTTATTTTTCTGTGTTTCCACCTTGAAGGCATTTCAGTTGCAAGTTTGGAATAATAAAAGAAGATTTAATTTCACAATCTTGAATCTGGGATTAAGGTATGATGTTGGGTAGTCCAGGAAGCTTTGCCCTGTATCTAACTTGTGTGTGCCATCTGTTCTGGAATTGTTTTCTGGTGATTCTTTGTGCTAGCATTAGCAGGAAACTACTTGGAAAATTAGTGTTTGCTTCATTAAAGGAATTAGTTGCTATTGCTTCAGATATGAAAGTATGTTAAGTATGAACAAATAAAAGTTACAGGAATAACTAAAACCAGAATGTGATACAAATGTGCAATAAGTTAACTGTAATCCAAATGTTGATTTGACCTGTCTGCATTTTCAGTTTTACTGTTTTTATGTCCGATTTTTGTAAGTTCTGTTTTATTTCTTGAAAGCTACACTGTCTGTTATAAGAAAAAGCAGTGCCAATTCTAGTTTGTGGAGTGATTGTCTTAGTCGACAGGACTGATCTTCTGTCATTAAAAATCAGATACCAATCAACTGAAGTTGATTCAGGTCTTTTACAGTACCTGCTTTGTGATTCACATTGCCA